GTGCTGGCAAATATCAGTTTGATAATTTCTCTTCTGAAAGATTTGATTTGGTAGGTAAAGGGAGGATTCATCAAAATCTTCTTCTACCTTAGAGAATTCCTCCAGATAGCTAATGACACCATAAATTATATTTTCGTGCAAGTTCTGACTTTGTTCTAGTTTGTAGGCAGTTCTCCCACCATCATCTCTGTCAAGGATTCTATGTATGGTGCTATTTTTTTCCCCTTTTAGTAGCAGGTTTTCTTTTTAATACTGTCAAAAGTAATAAAAGATACACTTTCCATCTCTTTTTTTTAGAGTGTTGACTTTTTTTTAATTGTAAATAATGTATGGTTAACAAACATCTACATATTTGTCATACTGGTATTAAATCAGTAAGGAGGCGAATTTAGGCCTACATATGAAGATGTTAGACAGCACTGTTCTCTTAGCATTGGCACAATGAGATTTGACTAAACCTGAGACCAAAAGAATGGGAGGTAGAGCTTCTTTCTATGATTTCTAAGGAAAAATGTTAGAAATCCTCTTTTTTTTAATAACCTGTTGTCATTGTTGAACTATTTTAGCTCTTTAATATAAGACAAATATCAGATTCCATTAGCACTGTGGAAACATTAATAGTTCAATTCCTATCTAGTGATAACTGGGGAGGATAATTGCAGATTATTACAACATAGAAAAGCTGTGTGTAGCCATGGAACAAGAGATGGCAACAGACTAAGACAAATGAATAGAAATCAAAAACTGCATTTTGGATTGTCATATATACTAATTGTCAAATTCTATTTTAAATACACTTCCTTCTAATACTTCACAATATCTTCAGAATATTAACACCTCAGAAGTGCTTAATAACACAATTAAATATTTTGTCCATATTTAGGTAACATGTTCTTCATATTCTATTTCAAAATGTTCTTGGTTAGTACTAGGCTAATCTCTTGTACGTGACACATCTAATTTTCCTTTTATAAAATAGTGTTTCTTGCCTGAATGTATGCATATATTTGGGCATGGATAATAAATATCTGAATAATAAAGCACCCTAAACTACATTTACAACAAGAAAAGTAATGCTTTTTTAAAATCAATCTTGGGCATCACATTTCTCTCTGCTTTTAAATCAAAACTGAAACACAAACAATTTTTAATTACAAAATATCAAATAAAATATAAATGAAAACAGTATCATATTTACCACGTTGTTTACAAAGCCTCCTTTCCCATTATAGAAAAGACTTAAAACAAAGAAAAGTAATACTTATTTCAAAATTATATTTATGTCTTATAGATATATCAGCAGTTCCACTCTATGAACTGAATATTTAAGAACATATGTTTCTTTTTCACAGCTTTATGAAATATTTTTTTTAAATGTTAGTGGACCTACTTTACAGTATAATGAACTGCATTCATTGTAACCGTCTTGATATTACTTTTTTATAACAAAATATACTTTGAACAGAAAAATCAAGGAATAGCATATGTTGCTCTTGCCATTTTTTAAAAACAGAAACCTTTATTTAAAGTTCATTTTGTAATATTAATTTTCCTGAAATATGCACTTGCATATTTTTTTTATTTGTAAATACAATAAGTAGGAAAATGGGATACTAGGAAAATAATGTGTTTTTTAAAAAAATGATAAACATGCTTGATTCAATTTGAACAGAACTGCGGAATGGGTCATAAAAATCTCCTTTATAAGACATTTTCCTGTAGATAGTGACTTCAATTCTCTTGCTCTTGTGCTCTAGTTATTAATATGGCACTGAATAATTTGTTACAATAGAAAACGTAATGACTATTAATATTAGATTTAAAAAATAGTAGTCACTGACAATAATTCTGGACAAACCTCTTTCTGTCACTATTTAGATGATAACTAGGTGTTTATTGACTGGACATGGTATTGTTTTAGCATATATTGACTACCATGTTAGCAAATGGTGATTTATATGAAAAAATTACTATTTGATGGCTATTCACAGCATAGAGGAAAAATGCAAGATGTACAATTTTATTTTTCCATGCAATTTGTAGGATATGTTTCACTATTTACTTTAAGTACACCCTCAGTATTTTAGACACAACAATAACATAATATGATGTAAATTTCTTTAAAAGTTTCTTCTGTTTCCCTCAAAATTAATTACTACCAGGGCTAATGTTCAATAAAGGATCCTAAGTTTGCCACTTAATTGTGGTAAAAAAAATCAGGGTATGTTAAATCAGCAATCAGGACTGCAAACTTAAATAGAATGCACAAAATAAAATGGGATTTTGATTTGTTCTACTGACAATAAAACACTATTGCATTATTCTATTTTAAATTCTGCAGTTGATGAAGATTACTGATAGAAGTCAATCATATTTATAAAATAAATTTCAGTTTACTATTTAAATAGCATTTATTTCATTAAGGTAATGCTGGTTAGCATGCACAGTCTATTTTCTATGTTTTTATTTGCCAGTTTTCACAATATGTTTGAATACTGACACTATTTGGAAGACATTTAAGCATTGAAAAATCTGGAAAAAAAACCTAGTGCATTGTTTTAATAGAGTTGCCAAAATCTATGCAATGCTATTTATCAGACAATACAATATTTTCACTATATTCAAAGATATCTAATATATTTACAACAGCTAACTTATGGAAGAGTTGGACAGAACAACATAATCCTACATTCATTTACTTGGGACTAGATGTACAGAGTTTATTAGAACTTAATTCCTAATGCATATATGGGATTGAATGACAACTGATTAAAGTAAAGTGCAGAAGAAAAGGCTGCTCCTTAGTGAGATTCAAATTACCTAAACATAAAAATGAACTAGTTCTAATGAATAGCTTATACATAGTACCACATCTGAAGACAGTTTTCTCTATTTTAAATGTCTTGATTCTTCAATGTACCACTCATATAAGGATGTAAAGCAGTAAAATATTACTGCTTCAATCATATGTGAAATAAAACCAATGCCCACTGGAAATTTTAATCAGACCCTAATGTATCCACTGGATTTTTTGCAGGGAAGTGAAATTTCCCTGCTTCATTCACTATTTCCCATTCATATCCTTAACCACTATGTGATGTTTAGCTGGAAACTATTCTAAGCATTTACCCAGGTTTTATTGGTTTTTTTTTTAAAGGAAACCACTGTGAAAGAAAGTATGTGCCTTATCGCAAGGCTGCAGCTTTGCATTTCATTGCTCTGATAAAACACCAAAGCGAAAGAAAGAAAAAGACCCACAATCTTACAAGACCAGCACAGTCTTAAAAAAGGATTAGAATTTGAAATAAGCTTTTTCAAAAACTAATCAATCAACTCCTACTGTAATATTAGAATCAGCTCTTAAGAAGGCTATTTAATCCCTTCAAGGTTTATTACATATTCCATTATTGACTACAGTAACACAAACTCCCATACACATACCATTTCAGGTTGCATACAGCTGGGATGAAAATAAAACTTTGCATCTTGCTGTGTGCAAGCAGTTAACATTTTCCTGAAAAAGGACATTGATTTTTTAAGCAAAAATAATAATTGCAATACAACTTGTTAATGCTTTTCTTTAGGAAAAAGGGTATATTTCAGTGCTATTTCCTTCTTTTGACACAGTATGCTATATATTTAACATCTGAAGCTTTTTTATTTGTTCTCTAAAATACAATGCAACAACCACCTTCAGGACTCTATACCTTAGTTATAAAGTTTTTTTTCTTTATTTTAGACTACAGTCTGGTTTACTTGTCCCAACCCTGTAGCTTGACTGGGTTGTAAAAAAAATGGTTTACTTCCACCCAAACCTGCTTCCTAAAAGCACTAAAGCCAATTAAACTCAGTCACATCATTATAAATACATGTTGCACCCATTTACATGAGTAACAATTACAGAAGGACCAATTAACTAAAATCGAACCAGTTCAAGTTTACAGTAAATCTTATATCAAAGAAAACAATACAGTATCTATATCAGGCGTTTCTAGGCTGAACTTTAAAAATTCCAGTTGTCTTTAGCCCTTAACATTGTCTATAATAAAGTGCTTGTATATACGAACACTTTTCAAAATTGTCCTTCATAATCACCAAATGCCTAGATTTTCTGTACTACATATGACCCCAGAGCCTCCTGTGTAGAAAAGAGATTTTGTCAACTAACTACAGCATCCATCACTCAAGAAATAAACTAACTTTTATCAATCTTGAGCATTGGGCAAAGAAAATCGCAAGTTCCTGCCCGGGAAACCATTGCTTATCGAGATAATTGAAAAAGAAAAAGTTGGTAATCTCCAATCCAAGTTTCTAAATCCTGCCTCCAGTGACAGTAATTCAGTCGTGAATGCTCCTCTATTCTAAACCTTCAAACCCAAACTCGGACCATATTCAGAGGTTAGCCAACACAGGTGCTTTCCCGGGGTGCCCAATGAAAAACGCGGAAGGCTTGCTTCCTTCAAAAGCCAGCTCTTCCCTCGAAAGAAAGGCTGCCAAGGCTGCCCCTGCTTTCGCCTCACACACAGCCTCAGGAAAGACACCGCCCGGTTTCCGAACCTATAAAGGCCCGCTGTTTTCAGAGACCCGCCCCCCCCCCCCGGCACAAATCCGGCTCAGGAATGAGCGGTTCTCCCGTGGCCGTCGAAGAAAGTTTTCAGCCCCGGATTCGCGCCACCCCGCCGAACCTCCCCCATCGGGCGATCCCGGCTCCCTCGCGGCGAGGTCAGCAAGCGCCGAGCAAACTGCGAGACCCGTTCTCAAGGCAAAGAAAGCCCCCGTCTTAACACTCAACCGGACCGGGTACAAAACTTAACGCGGAACGCCTATAAACTCGCATCGAACGGCAAGGTAAAAGAGGCGACCGCAAAATCCGGAACCCCCGGACCGCAAAATCCGGACGCAGCTGCTTCGCAGCCTCTGCAGCTGCTGCCGAAACGAAGGAGGAAAAGGGGAGGAGGAGGAAGAAGAAGAAGAGTCTCCCCCGGGCAAAGTGGACTTACGAGCGGGAGAAAGAAACTCTGCGCCACCACAACCAGAGGGAAAGGCTGCCGCAGGTGCACCATCATCCTGGCTCCGGAGTCTTTTAAGAGAGGCGTCCTTTGCCTTGACTGTGGCTCATCTCCACTTCGGAAGGCTGGGCGGAGAGCGCAGGGACATTCCGCGACGACGCAGCAGCAGCTTCCTTTTTTTTTTTTTTTTTTTTTTTTTTTGCGCCCGCTTCGGGAACCTGCCCGGCACGCGCGCGCGCACGCCCGCCCGCCCGCCAAGCGAGGGAAAGACTATATGGGAGCAGCGGACGAGCGAGAAGCTGGCCGGCCCGGCCAGAAAAGAACACCGTACACCCTCCCAAACGACCGTCTGTCGAGGTCACTCCTCCACCGCAGTCAGGCGGCGCTGGGGTGCGACTTTCTTTCGCACTGGCGTCCCTGGAGAGGAGGGGTGGGTGGTGAGCTGGCTGTCTGGGGAATGGGAGGGAGGCAGAGCTAGGAAAGACGCGGCGTGCAGGTTGTCTGGATTATAAACGCCAAAGCTTGGGAAGATCCCCGTGGGGAGGCGGGCAAGGGCGGGAGGGAAGGGGAGTCACGCGCAACGCCGTGGTGAACGCCGGGCGACTCTTCAGTCTCTCCCTCCCTCCCCCTCTCTCTCTGTCTCGGAGAGGGAAGAAGAAGATGATGGCAGGCTCGTTGGCCCTTGGCGGGAAAATGCGGCGAGGACCCAGAATTGGGTCTGACTGGTCCATCTTCGGCGCATGCTTTGGAAGCGGAGCTTGGACGTGAGGAAGCTTTGCTACCCTGACTGTGCTCCGCAGCCTTCTCTGGGATGGGCGGACTCAAGACTTGAGAAAAGTGGCTCTGGGCACCTTGGAAATATAATTAAATTCCCTAGCTCAGTTTAAAGCAGAATTGCCTATCCTCAGGCTCTTCTCCCCCTCCCCCTTCTTCCAGTAGACTGTTAAGATGTACACATTCAAAGGAGAGAAATGTGCGGCAGAGTTTTAAGCCTGGACGTTTTGAGTATGGCTCTCAAGATTTGTTTTTGGTAACTCCACATTTTCTTCGGTTTAGCATTATTGCTCAGAGCAAGGATTGCTCCTAGAGTGAAACAATTAGGAGTCAGATGTTTTTGTTCACCCCTATGAGTCATGTGCAAAGAGTCAGGTAGACTGAAGTCTACTACATGGAGATTCTTGCCTTAAGAAGACAATAAGATCGCCTGTAGGCAAGTTACAGTGTTTGTTGGTCCAACATCTTGTCCCAAAGGGGCTGCAAGATTGGATGCAGGAAGCAACTACTGCCACTGTTGATGAGTAGTCAAGGCATAGCCAGTGATTCTGGGGTTTTGCAAAATTAAGCATAGGTCCTGTTGGTCCTTTTCAATAAAGTATGACTGCTTCCTTGGACAAAGACATACTGGCCATGCATAACCTTTTCTCTTTTGGAATGCAGTACACAACCCATGTTTGTTTTGGAGATATTTCTTTACCTAAATAGGGAAGCAGCATGACCATGAATCTTCCTGTTGGCTTCCCTACTGTGGAAAGCTGGCAGTGAACATCAGAAATTTTCCTTCCTGCTTCCCTCTCTTCCTCCCTCCCTGTATCTTCCTTGTTTCCTCCCTCCCTCCCTTCTCTTCCTTCTTCTTCCTCCCCTCTCCTCCACTTCCCAGCATGCAGGTAAGTGGCTGCTGGAGTGAGGGAAGTATCAAGTAGGCAATGGGGACTGAGTGCAGAGGGACTAGACCATCCATCCATTGACTTTCTTCCTGCAAGCTTCCTCAAGAAAAAGACTGCCAGTGGGAAGGTGGCAGGGAGTATAGGAAAATCAGCAATTACACCAGTTATTTCCTAATTTCCTACTGACTTATGGGAAGCTACCATGCAATATTGAAAATGAGGATCATGTCACTGCTTCCTGAGGCACTGTGGCTATTGCACTAAACAACAGCAGGGGAGTTGGTATTAAAGTAGCAAAAAGAAAATTCCCCACATTTCATTTCCTCAAAACTAATGGAACCTGGCATTCTATAAGGTACTTTGAGTTACCTTTGTTGGGAAAGCTTTGCTCTGTGAGGCAGCATTTCTCCCAGTTGAAGGTTGCAAAGCACCAAATAGATACATGAGTTTTAATAGTATACAGGTAACAGCAAGGAGTGGCCATTGTGCTTTTCCCATGTCTCTTCTTCTTCTTTTCTTTCCTTAACCTTGGCCAAGGTCATAGGAAATATTGGCCACAGAGTGAAGGAAGAAAAACTCTCTCACTCTTGATGCAGTATCCCCTTGTTCAGATAAGTCAGAAAACATTGTCATTGTTAATTGAAGCACATTCTTCCAGTCACCTGCTGCTCCTCAACTCTATCTGATATCAGTGTGCACTCCTGAGACACCTCTTGGGAAATGCTGCTCATGTTAGCATGACATGTGAAAAAGTAATGATTATACTAGTAATGCTGTACAGAATGACTATTTTCCTTAAGGAAAGGATTAAAGCTTCACGCATAGCACACCTCTGACAAATCTTTTAAATACATTGGGACTTATTTCTCAGAGAATATGGAAGGAAAATATTTCTATATAATAAATATATCCCATTTTGCTATTTTGGGTGTGGGAGTGGGTTAGAGTTAAGGTTAGGGTTAACATCCAATCTAATATGTTTTGTTCTATTTTGGTCCTATAATGTTATTTATTATCCCATTATACACAAGATTGCCCTTTTTAGCCACAGGCCTAAGCCTATCTAAGGAGTAATGTCAAAGAAATTAGAATGTGTGTGTTTCAAGACCGTTACGTGCCTTTTTATAGCAGGTTGTTTCCCTGCCTCATACTACCTTTGAGCAATCCAGGGAGGCAGAAAAATATAAAGTGCTAAGATCATATATTAGTAGAAATGGAAAAGATGGTTTAAATGGAACACATTGTCCTTCTGTGCTTCTCAGTGTCTTTTTTAAAATTTGGACTCACTGTGACTTAACTCAGCAAGGCCTCTTGGACCATGCTGTGGGATATATTATAACAAGGAGAGTTATAGCAGTTAACTCTATTGTAGGAAGAAAGTCTTCCTTCTACATAATCCAAAACACAGCATAGCTTATTTTATCTACCATATTAACCTTGTTTCTGGCGGCTGTGTTAGGGGTTTGATGCAAATGGACATGTATATGTATCTCAGTCCCAAAGAAAGAAAACCTGATTGCTGTAAGAGCTGATGAAGTAGGACAGACTGGCCCGACAAGTTTACCTTAGCAGGTTCCATATTGTTAATTACACAGATTGTAAAAGAGCATGCCTTTTTTTTCCTTTCCATCTTCTCTTTTCAAGGATGTGTTAGACAGCAATTTGTATAATAGCACACCGTCTGTCATTTTGGAGAAGCGAGACAGACTGTATTACCATAGCACTGTCACATAGAGAATCTTTATAACACTTCCAAAGTTGTTAATTCTTATTTATTCAGAAACTCAAAGTTACATGGAAACAAATGCTAATGAAACAAACATACAATGAACAATTAATTGCTATTGTACATGCTTTCTGAATTAAAAACTTCACTCATTCATACATTTTGTGTGTGTGTGTGTGTGTGTGTGTATGTGCGCATACCTCTATCCAATTCAAAATTAGTTGGCCAGACCAGGTTTGTGCTCCAGACAAATTGAGGCAGATATCTATCATGGCCATTCTCTTGTTCATTGAGATAGCTCCAAAGCACAACTGTTTCCACCCATTTTTCTAACCTCCAGGATAGCTTGATGGGTTCTTACTTTTCCACTGAAATGCCTCATTTAGTTAACATGTAAACTCTGTCTTGTTCTGAGAACCACTCTCTTGTGTTGTCTTAGACAACTCTTCATTCTGGCATTTTTAGACAAGCTGAATTCTTCTAAACCAACTTCTTATACCATGATGGACTCATGTTGGATGGAACTCGTGTTTTCCATTTTTTATACATGTCCACTGTGGTTTATTGATTAAGATAGTAGACTTGGATTGGGGAGTTCCAAATTTAAGTCCTCCTCAAATCACTAGATTATGTTGGTGCAATCACTCCCATCCCATCGTATCTCATAGAGTTGTTGCAGGATAAATTTAACAGGACATTTCCATGAAAGCCACCTCGAGAAAAGGTGGGATACAGACCTAATAAACAGCATTCATAACTTCACATGTACTTAGATGTAGATATGTTTGAAACGGACAGTTAGAAATAAATATAGAAGATGTATCAAAAGTCAGGTCCTGTAGAAACTGCATCAAGTAATTTTCCTTAAATGTTAATGGCTTGCTATTTTCCTCTACTTCCTTAAGAAAACACACTGTGATTGTCCTACAGTGCCTGCTTTTGGTATATCCTGTATATAATAAACTACAAATTAATATTAGTAGCAATAGGAGGACAGTTAGAGTTCTATCGCTTTTTATATAACTTCTAATAAATGCTAATCAATTAGAAAAATAACAAATTTAAGTATTGTATTAAGAAAGTGGATAGGATACATGGGGCTTTTGAGTTCCTGCTACTCTATGTTTCAGGTTTAAACAGGATATGGCATGGATTTGAATTCAAGTCATGGTGAATGCTTCCTTGAAGGACATAATATTTCTGCTTTCTCTGGAGGAAGTGATGGTTCATCCTCTCTTCAAGAAATTAGTACTAGATTCAAAAGTGCTGGATACTTTTTGTCTCCAATTTTCTCCTTTTAGGAAAGCTTGTTCAGAAACTCATAGATTTGGAGATCCTTGAGGAATCTGGATTTCTCTCAGTCTACATTCTGTTTGTAGCTTTGAGGCAGCATTGATTGCACTTGTTAATGGTCTGTGTTGGCCTTAGGATAGGTATCCATCCTGAGACCCTGCTTGATTTTTTGGTAGCCTTCAATACACTCAGTCATATATCCTTCTGAATTGGTAGAGATTTGGGAGTGGCAGGCATGGTTTTTTCAGGGGCTCTCCTTCCTCCAAGGCTGGTTCCAGGATGTAATATTCTTCTTCTGCATTTTTATAGACTTCCTTCATTCTGGGATCATAAAGCTTAATGTGGTAGTAGAAACGGTCAAATTATAGCAAAAAAATTCCACATTGAATATATATGTTTATAGGAGCTTTACTAAACAAGGACTAAT